CCTAGAATACACACCTTGATAACATACGACATTCCCACATCGGCTAGACTAGCCCCCTACGAGAATCCCAAGACACCGTAGTTACACAATTTATCCCGAAACTCGCGGACATACCCGAGGAAATCACCAGCCCTCTATCGGCTCCCCCCGGCACACACCGGACAGCCCGATAAACCTCAACGGATCAGGGAGCTAAGGGGGTTAACAACAAGGCCACCGAAGGAGCTCCAGACTTGCTCCGCTTCCACTGCAGCGGCGGCTGCCACGCAAAGCCGCGCATCTCCTACCTACCTCTCCCTCGGCGCCCGGGCATCTATCTCCTACCTACCTTCTCCTCTCGGCGCCCGCGCCCGCCAGCATCTTCGAGACATTGAAAAGCCACGCGCTTCTTCTGTGTGCTGTACACCCGCAGCGTCCTAAAGGGAAAGCAAAGTCCGGTCTCGCTCTTCTGGCCCAGGAACTGTGTCTCACACAGAAACACTGTCACCCACACGGAGGGCGGCCTAGGCAATCTGTGGCCTGCGAAGGGAAACACACACCAGCTCCCCACTTACTCTCATTCCCCGGCACCTGAAATGAGACCTGCTACGATGAAAAGTAGTCGATAAATATTGAAAAGGGCCATTCTGACTGATGAGTAATATGCCTGGAACTCCTGATTTAAAAAAAAAATTCTTTGCTCCAAGGACACAACTCAATGCGATTCACCAGTAAACACGGCAGTAGGTCCTCCTTTCGAAAGGGACAAGAGAGTTTACTTTTATATTAAACAGTTTTCTTAAAATCACTGCAGTGGCAACAAAAGGAAACCAATATCCAGCCCTACCATTGGTACCTCTGCTTAAGTCACCTATTCTAATAAAAGGATAATATGCTAATTAGACCGGACGTCCTTCTGGATAAAGCCATGGTGGCGGGGGCCAAGGCAGGGGCAGTTAGGGGCGATCAGGCCAGCAGGGGAGAGCAGTTAGGGGTGATCAGGCCAGCAAGGGAAAGTGGTTAGGGGCGATCAGGCAGGCAGGCAGGTGAGCAGTTAGGAGCCAGCGGTCCTGGATTGCAAGAGGAATCCCAGATTGGAGGGGGTGCAGGCCCAGCTGAGGGACCTGTCCCCCCCCACACACACACGAATTTCATGCACTGGGCCTCTAGTCTATATATATAAAAGCTTAATCGACTGGCTGATTGGCCGGCAGCTATGACATGCACTGACCACCAGGGGGGCAGACGCTCAACACAGGAGCAGAAACCACAGGCATGAAAACATGGAACAGACTGATGAATCTCAGAGGGAAAGGGGTAGAGGGGAAGGCAGGAAGAGATTAACCAAAGATCTTATATGCATACTAGAGGCCCGGTGCACGGATTCGTGCACTGGTGGGGTCCCTCAGCCTGGCCTGCAGGGATCAGGCCGAAACCAGTTCTCCAACATCCCCCGAGGGGTCCCAGATTGCGAGAGGGCACAGGCCAGGTCAAGGGACCCCACCTCTAGTAGTTATCATAAAAGATCTTTTCTTTAAAAGTTGCCCATGAAATTCAGATCTAATTCCAAGCTCTTTCTGCATTCATTCACCTAGCCCGGCCAGCATGGCTCAGTGGTTGTGCATCAACCTATGACATCCACCCATTCCATAGACTTACATGGTACTAACTTCATGTAAGGCACTTGCCCTGATTAGTTTCCAATGTTTCTTATGTTGAAAGAATAACAAACAAATTCTTTCTATGAAATTGAGACTCAAAGAATCAAAGCTAGAACCATGGCTTATATTGGCTAAGTTGTGATAAAATACCTCTGCAGAAATTTTTAAGTAAACAGATATAAAGACAATTCGTCCAATACTCACGTACCGATCACAGCTCAGGGTCGCAATATATTGGCCCAAAGGATCCCAGGTAACTCCTTGTACATAACTTTTATGTTCATTAAAAATCGAGATCTTCTGTCCTACGAGAGAAGCACACAACAGCATGACCAAAACCTACTCCCGCACCAGCGTGGACACTGCAGTTTCAGTGTCATTGTCCTGACACTGTTCTGCCTTCAGCAGGCGGCAGGGGGACTGCCCCAAACACTGGGTCAGACTCGGGCCACACAGGTCCTGCACAGCCCCATCCGCAGGCGCTCAGAGCCGGTGGCGGAGACCCCGCGGGCAGAGCGTCGAACACAGAGGAGCGAGGTTAACGCGGCAGGTGGAGACCAGGCAGGGCGAAGGGGCCGGTGAAGGGAAAGGAGGTGGTCTAAGCAGACGCACGGGGAGAGGGAGCAATGGCAGTAGCTGCGGACTGCCAGGGGGAAGGTAAAGGGCCAAACTGACAAGATGAGGAGGAAGGGGGTGGGCGACAGGAGCCCTGTGCAAGGAAAAGGCCCCGGGCACTCACGGTGCGGCTAAGAGGAGCACCACGAGGGAGTGACCTGGTGGTAAGGATGAAACTGAGGGGGCTTTTTGGCGTTTTGTTTGTTGGTTAATCCTCACCCATGTATTTTCCCACTGATTTTTTAGAGAGAATGGAAGAGGGGGAGAGACAGATAGAAACACTGATGTGAGAGAGACATCCACCAGTTCCCTCCCACACGTGCCCCCACTGGGGCTGGGGATCGAGCCTGCAACCCAGATATGTGCCCTTGACTGGAATTGACCCGAGACCCTTCAGTCGGCAGGCCGATGCTCTAACCACTGAGAAACTGGCCAGGGCAAAACTGAGGTTTTGAAAAGACCATGGGGAGTGCCCCTGGTTAGGAGGTGAGGGTAGACCAGGTGAGAGTCGAGGGCCTTAACCCGAGCAGCACTCGCAGGGATGGACAGGGACTGGGGGTGGGAGGTGGAAGGAAAACCAGACACACACAAAGACGATCTGAAGAGAGAGGAAGTCATGAAGCCTTGGCCATGCTAGGAGCACCAGGACCCAGTTCTGAGGTGCCTTCCCTGCTCACTCCCCCCAGCCCTCTGCCATTCATCCCCCAGCCCTCTGCCATGCCCCCAGCCCTCTGCCATCCCCCCAGCCCTCTGCCATGCCCCCAGCCCTCTGCCATGCCCCCAGCCCTCTTGCATCCCGCCAGCCCTCTGCCATGCCCCCAGCTGTCATTCACCCAGTCCTCTGCCATGCAGCCAGCCCTCTTTGCTGCGGGGTCTCCTCCCCACCACCCACAAAGCTTGGCCCCACAGCGCCTACCCATGTACAATGCACATGCTTCAGGCTAACTCCCCCGCTCCTTCCTTAACCGTTTGAGTCCCAAGCAGCGCAATCGAGCTGCTGAGATTTTATGTCGAGAAAACATACGATTCGTTTGAGTCCCAGGGGGTATTGAAAAAACACTGTCGAAGAATCCCAAACAGCGCAACCGCGCTTTCTCTAAATGAGTACGAAAAGACCCAAACAGCGTGATAGCGCTTGTTTTATTTTATGTCGAGAAATACCAAGCAGCACGATTGCGCTGCTTGGGACTCAAACGGTTAAACTCTGTCCAGGCAGTCTGCTGAGGTGACGGGGGAAGCCGGGGTGACAAAGGGGGCGCAAGGAGACCTGTGGGGTTTGGGGAGAACAGGAGCGGAATCCGACTCCCAGGTGGGGCCATGAACACCCCCCCTGAGGCTGATGAGGATGATGGGGAGTGGCCCAGTCTGCAGGGTGGCGGGTGTTACACCAGCTGCGCTCAGCCTGGGACTGGGACCTGAGACTGTCACCCCGATCCGGCCTGGGGCTTGTCTAGGTGGGAAGGATGGAAGGAAAGGGCCGAGGAAAGTGAGTGTTGATGAACGGCCCCCGGGGGAGCACTGGGCCAGGGCTACCAGGCCAGGAAACAGGGCTCAGCCCGAGGCTCCGGGAAGAAGAAAAGGTGTTGGGGACTGAAGGAGGCGGCTGTGATTCGAGAGTGGGCCCTGGGCTTCGGATGTCAGCGGCAGAGCAGCTAAAAGACCTGCGACTGACGGGATGTGACAGCTGGGACCGCGTGCTCTCGGGAAGACAGGACTCAGACTACGGAGGGGCCAAGGCGCTGGGCGGCAGCAGGAATCAGCACATAAGGAATTCCTTAAATAAAAATGCACCAACTGGCCCAGCCGGTGTTGCTCAGTTGGTGAGCATCGACCTGTGAACCAGGAGGTCACGGTTTGATTCCTGGTCAGGGCACATGCCTGGGTTGCAGGCTCGATCCCCAGTGTGGGGTGTGCAGGAGGCAGCCGATCCATGATTTCTCATCATTGATGTTTCTATCTCTCTCTCCCACTCCCTCTCCCCTTCCTCTCTGAAACCAGTTAAATAAATAAAAAATTTTTAAAATATTGACTTATAATAAGTTGCCTATGTTACATATTTTTTAAAAAAACACACCTTTACCCACATAAGACAGAGGTCTGAGACGTGACCCTGATTCCCACACTTCCTGCTAAAGCCTGCTCCCCAGCCCCCCTCAACCTCCACCTCCACGCCCACTCCCGTGGTCCAGCTCAGGAAATGGCTCCAATATTCACCTGGTTGTCAAAAAGCTCGGAGTTACAGCCAATGCATCAAACCCTGTCAGCTCTTTCTACAAAGTATGTCCCAACCCAACCCTGCCACCCCCTTCCATCACTAGCACCCAGCCTAGCACTGTCACCCCCTGAATCACTCCTGCACCACTGACGGCGTCCCTCGCTCCCACCTGTGTCCTCCTAGGACCGATTTGCCACATGCCACCCGGAGGCGTCTTTTTAAAATCCCCTTATTCTCCTGCTCAAAACCCTTCGGCACCATGGGGTCACAGAAGGCTGTGGGTCTGG